ACTCAGTAAAGTTTAGGAACTACTGAGATAAAACCTTACAGTCCAGTCAGAGGAATACCAGGTTTTAAAGATAGAGAGGAGCAGGAACAAGCTAGCTTTGCGTTTTGGAGGATAAATAAGCACAAATTGTCCAAAAGAAAGCTTCAAGTAAGCTCAATTAAGTAAGTCCAAGCTTTAAAACTCAGCAGTTTAGGAACTACTGAGATCAGAAGCTTACAGTCCAGTTACAAGAGTACCAGGTTTGAAAGATACCGAGCAACAGGAACAAGCTAGCTTTGCGTTTTGGAGGATAAATAAGCGCGAGTTGTCCAAAAATGCCTCATTTCAGCCTGTGTTGCTTTGCTGTTCTTCTCTCTCTCAGCGTTCCTCTGTGTTGTCGTACTAAATTGGTGGGGTCCCCCTTTAAAAGCACAACAGCATAACTTTCTCTCAATATACTTCAATTTTAGGCTGTTAAGGCAAAATATTTAATTAATGTTTTTTATGTGATTATAGTCGAATTTAGAATATTTTAGACGATTTAACTCGCAACAAATAAGTCAGGAAACGGCAAGAATGGATAAACTATAGGGAGTGAATTAGGGTCTCCATCTGTGGTTTATAGCACCTTATGTTTACACGACAAGTACTGGCATTAAAGCCGGCAAGAAAAGAGAAATATGCAATATGAGAAAGGAAAAAAACATGAAAAAATAAGACAGATGCGTGACACACATCGAGCAGAATGATTAAAAAAAAAAAGCAATTCAGGATCAAAATGGGGAACAAGCACTAGAGCCGGGAGAGACTTTTTTTAAGGGCGCAATTCCCTTCTTTTCCACGATCATATCTAAAGAATCCAGCAGACACCTGCCAGGCTTTCTGCAACAGAATCACCTTTCAGGATAATCAAGAAGAACTAAATGGGTCGGACTTTCCCTCCGAGGACGCCCTTCTCTGGGATTACAGTCCAGGCTTGTTCTTTTCTTTGGCACATCCAGGGAGAGTTTGGAAACACCTTTGGGTCCGAGTGTTTCGGGCCCTTTATCGGAGAGGAGCAGCAGGAGTTTGGAGCCCGGGAGGGTTTTCTGCTACAGGTCGGCCGGAGGTTCCCTGTTTGATGCCATGCAACACTCCTTTATATAGAAGCATGTGGAGACTCTCTTCTCTCTTATATCAGCATGCACACGACGTTACCTCATTTGATTTTTTTACATTTCGTCTTCTCTGACCCTCATCTGCCCCTGGATTATTTCTCTCATTTGTTTTCACCAAAAGTGCACTGGCTATTTATTATCGTTTGGGTTCTTTCAGAGCATTTACGTGTTGAATGTTTAAGGGAACAGGAACACTTCTTTTTTGAAGATCATGGCATGTCAAAATACTACAGCATTATGGCCTAATTAGCTATGATATAGCTACGTATACTCAATGCATGACGTCAGTATTAAATTGCTTGCAGTTGTGGAGGGACCTCGGGGGCTGGAGGACGATGATTACTCTCATTGTTGTCGAGCTGTCCACAGGAAACGGTGCATGACGGAGCAAACTGTCGGAGGGGAAAAAAAACCAAGAAAAGAAAAAAACGAAACAGATCAATCTCTTTAAAAAAAAGACTTTGCAGAAGTTCCATCTGTTATTTTCTGTTTATCTGGAGCTTTGATGATGGAGTGCATGGGATCATCTGACTTGTGATTTGTGACCCTGTTTTTTCTTTTGACTTCTAAAATGTTTCGAGAACAAAAGCGGAAAAATATATAACAGAGTTCACAGATATATATATCTAAAATTAGTTTTTAGTGCCTTGAACCCCGTCTCGTTATAGAATTGACTAAAGTGCCTCCCATTCCTACAGACATCAAAGAGCTTACAGTGTGCAGCTTAACTTCTCCTGCCATACAGATGCACGGCTCCCTGCACATCTGGAGCTGAGGAGGGAGTTCAGACAGAGAATTCGCTCCATGTTTTTGGGTCTGAAATCCAACAGTAGTCCTGGTTGATGACGCTCAGCTGGTTTGTTTTTTATATTCGTAACTTGCTTCTCACTTCCAAAAGCAACTGGGAAAAAAGTCCTTCTCAGTCCTCCAACGTACGATTTTAGACCACATCCTAAAGCTTTCCTCATGATCTGAATGATAGGAGCTCCTGTTAGTGACCGTCCACATCCAGCTTTGGGATCTTTAATTAGATTTCCTCAGCCTTCTCATTGCCTTTGACTAGTTTTCGAATCTTCTCCCCGAACAAACCGCACAGGGATCTGCTGATTTGTGGGCTAATGAGGCTAACGCTGACCTATTTTCTGAGAGAGCAGCTAGCAGTAGGGAGTCTTAGCTTTGAGGTTCGTACATGTGGATTCTCGTGAGTTTCGGGGCTTGGTTTCGGTTTTCAGTAGACCACCAGCAACACTGCCACCTATTCTGGGACCAAACATCCTCTGCTGGAGACCTGGTGGAGAAAAAAGCCGAGTGGAGCTCTGGAGCTTGTGAAGTTTCCCTGTCCTGGCCTGGTTTGAGGAGGCAGAGAGAGAGAGTGGTGCTGTTTCTATGAGACAGGGTGATGGATCTGTGGAGGCACTCAGTGTTTCCTTTGCAGAGTAGCAGTCTGAACATTACCACAGGCATTAGTCACTCTGCATGCCAGCAAAATGGCTGCTGCTGCGGTTATGAGGAGGAGGAGGAGGAGGAGGAGGAGGAGGAGGCCATTTCTGGACGGATCTCTTCAAATCAAACGGCCTCAGATACAGATGATAGCTGCTCGTATGAAGAGTTCTCCGTTAGGTTTGTGTGGATCAGACTGAGGCCAGAGGTGAGAATAAGGTTTAGGAGGCGTCTCTTTGACCTCTTGGTGCATTTGTCCTGTTTTCATTAGAAAGAAAAGGTTGCTTTAAGGCTTTTAATCCTTTTCTGAAACCACAGCAAGGTTTTTGTTATGTTCAGTATCTGCAGTTTCCCTTAAATAAAGAAACTAGCGCTTCTACATTTTCACAGTCTTGAGCTTCAGGTCATAAATATCTCTAAGAAAAACCTAAATTAGAAGAAAATTATGCCAAAAAGGCGGCTGCAGGGAGCTGTAAATGCTGTAGATGTCTTCTTTCCATGTTCAGGAATGAAGCCCAGTCTTAAATGTTGACTTTTGGGGATATTTTCTCTTGTTCTTCGAGCTCAAATCCCCAATTTTTATTTAGAAAAACAACAAATGTGTGGCCAAATCCACCAGTCAGCGTTTTTTTCTGAGTTAAAGGTTGAAGTCAGAGTCTGGATAGGACCATAATGCTGGAAAC